GGAGGGTAGAACTTCGTCAAGTCCTGCGTCGAAACATTTGCAGGCGTAACGGCTGAAAGCAGGGCCCGCTTGTGGCCTGGTGGCTGTTGATGTGCAGGACACCGCTCCGGTTCGTCAGGTGGAAACCGCGTTGCAGGATTATTCCTGACGGACGCAAGCTGGGCTTGTGTTTGACGTGGCAGGCAAGGCGTCTTACCGTTGCTTTTGCGCCTTTGATGGACAAGTCGTCCGTGTTGTCGAAGACGTACTGCTCGCCCCCTTTGTGCCGTATCTTGCTTGGCTGGGCGGCAGTATCGCCTGGCAGCTTCTGCGCGGTTGCGAGAGCGTCAAGGAGAATATTAGTGTTGAGTCGTTGTCTGTGTGCCTCGTAGACGGGGCTGGACGACAAGTACTGCGCGGCAGTATGGAGGGTAGCCCTCCGTCGGCACGGGGCCCAACCTGCGCAGGTTGCTCGTGGTCAATCTGATCGCTGATGCTCGGACAGTGACGCTTGCGTGACATTTGTGAATCCAAGCAACCGCGTCGGCGTAGCATACCAGCACGCCGTCTCAAACGACGGCGTTACGTAGATGCCCGCCCGCCAGAATTCATGCTGTCCTGCTACCTGCGTAAGTCGGGCTGCAACACTTCTTCGGTGTCGGTGTGGTGATTCCAGGTGCAGCAAATTAAGTCGCCCGCGCTCGATGGCTTCAGACCACTACGCAGGATGCCCGTGATGCAGTGAGGAGGGCATCCGTGGTAGTACGTCGGCACACCTGTCGTTAGTGTGACGCTTTTGCTTTTCGGGAAGTGAGTCTGCGGGAACATGGCTGTGTTATACTGCCTGGTTGGAGTCGCTCGTAGCACAGGTAGTGCTGTTCCTGCGTTTCGTGGCGTTCCCAAATGTGGGCCTGACTGCAGGAAACACACACAACTGGTTCTCGTGTCGTTTAACATGGTCTAAATGGGAACCCGACGCGCGGCTCCGGGAGGTCCGTCAGGAAGGCATCAAAGAAATCGGGATAGTCGAGGTTCCACGGCACGGCTCCCACCTGTGTAGCGCCATACCGCAGCACCGAGTGTGCAAGAGAAACGGCATGCACTGGCTATGGCCTCCCATCGACCGGGCTTCTCAGCGCTCCAGCGCCAGCACCGATGGCTTGACATCGTAGTCATGCTGGCGGTGAGTTACTTCAAAGAGAGGGCGCCCACTGCGTGCAGGAAGAAGGTTTATAGCCGGAGCTTGCAACGACCCTGCCTCGGCGCAGGTGCTCCGGAAAAGAAAGAGAGTGCTGGATAGTGTCTGCTTTCTTCTTGAGCCCACGGCTCCGGAGGCGCATGACGTTTGGAGTGTCTGTATATGCATGTTGGTGCTTCCGACATGATGGCCTCACAGTCGGCTCCTCTCTGCGATGCACTGGCCTTTTTTTTTTCGTGGTGTCGTAGAGGCTCCGCGCAACGCCTGCAGCGGGCCGGCCTCGGCGACGGTGGGGACACACGGCGTGATTTTGATCTGAACATCCTGTGGATATAACCTGATCTGGTTGCACTGTGGATGCGTTCAGCTGAGATCGGAACTCTTTACTACACGTACTTGTAGTCGGGCCAAAAATCCTGGGCTCGCACACTTCGCTCGGTGGCTGTGTTTCGGCTTTTGCGGTTCTGCACTGGCATGTCTCGGGTTCGAGCGTTGAAGTCCAAGCCCCCCTCGGGTGTCCATCGACACCACCCGAGGGTTGCCGCCCCCCAGTCGCAGGTTTCCTCCTGCGGTCGAGGCTGTCTGGGAAACTCTAGCAGCTGCGTGTGTGTCTGTGTGTATGTGTGTGTGTGTGCGTTTGCGTGTGTGTGTGTGTGTGTGTGTGTGTGCGGTTTTGTGTGCGGCTAAGCAGCAGCAGTGTAAAGGTACCAGCGACCGCTGGTATGCCACCACCACTGATTGTCGCACCTTTGGTAGCAGGGGAGAGGCATGGACGTGGATGTGATGTTGTGCGTCGTCTAGGTTTCGGTCCTGGCTTTGAACGGCGTGCCGTCGAACTCTGCTTCCACGTCGAGGCGGTTGCCCATCTGCAGACAAAGTGGGTGCTGATGATATTCAAGGTTTACAGCCGGAGTTTGCAACGACCCTGCCTTGGCGCAGGTGCTTCGGAAGAGAAGGAGGGTGCTGGACAGTGTCTGCTTTCTTTTTGAGCCCACGGCTCCGGAGGCGTATGACGTTTGGAGTGTCTGTGCTTGTCAAGTCGAGCAGTGGAGCGGCGTCTGAGTGAGTGCTGCAGCAGCCTGCATTGTTTTTTTGTCGGTGTGCTGGACCGATGCGTTTGCTGTTCGGTGAGACTTCTTGTCGGCTTGGCCCGCATGGGCTCTGCCTTATGTTGCATGCTAGATGAGTGTTAGTGCGAAGGTTCTGCCTTGGCTTCGTAAGAAGAGTCGATGTAAGTATGGCACAGACACACACACACACATACACGACACGAGTGCACTGTAAGGGTGGACATGCTGTTTGCAGCGAAGTTGCGGCCACAGCATAACCTTGGAGGGCATTTCTTGTGTGGCAGTCGTTGCCCAGTCACTGGCGTCGACGCTGGCTGTACCTTGGCTTCGGCAGGGAGAACTGATGCGAGCTTAGCACAAGTTCAGCATGCGCCAGCATTCGACCTGGACATGTTTGCTTGCATCTGAGTCGCGACCAGAGCTATACCTTGGCGAGCACATGTTGAGAGAGCGAACATGTTGTTCATGGGGAGTGTGAAGATCCTTGAAGGCCCCCCCCGGATGGATGATTCATGGTGAATCCGGGATAGCCTTGTTTTAGGATGCCTTGTCAGAGAGTGTCCCTCGGTACACGCTCCTACTTCCGTAGCCCGTGCCGGATTGGAGTGGCAGAGAGGCTTCACCTGTGCTGGGTTCGCCGACTTCGGAGGAGTCGACAGCCCGGTAGTAACGTGCACTCGCGTACACGCGTTCCCTTTAACAGGTTGGACGGAAGATCCCGGCCCGTGGCACTGAGGAACGAATCCAGTAGGAACGAATCCTCGCGCAAAGCGCGTCCGTGGCACGCACCCCGAAAGTGTGGCCGCAGCCTTTCGAAAGTGCTCGGGAAGACATCCTCGGCCCTTTTTAGGTATGTGGAGGCCGGTTCGGAAGAATGGTTCGCCGCAGCCATGCTACGGTTGGGCCACACTCCCTTCCACAAGGATGCTCACCATCGCCATTTTCGGGGGCAAGTGCGAACCCAAAAAGCGCACTGTGTGTATCCGAGCCGCCCGGATTGTCACGCCCTGCCTTCCAAAAAATTGTCGCGGAATGACAATTTGGATTGTCATTTCGTGACAATCCTGGGCCTGTTCCTTCCCCAGATTGTCGTGGCGTGACAATCTGGGGGGCGGGGGAGGGGCGAGGGGGGGCGGGATTGTCACGGCATGACAATTTAAATTGTCATTTCGCGACAATTTGGGCCCCCTTCGGGCTCCACCTGCGTCACACTCTTCGTGTGGTCGCGGCGGCCAGATTGTCAAGCCATGACAATCTGGTGACCCCGCCCCCCCCCCCCTCCCTCCCTTCCCCAGATTGTAGTGTTGTGACAATTTCAAGATCCTTCGAACCTAGCTGCATCACACTCTGGGGGGGGGGGGGGGGGTGGGCAGGATTGTTCTTTCATGACAATCTGGGAGGGGGGGGGGGGGGGGGGGGGGGGGGGGGGGGTGGGATTGTCCTGGCATGACAATCTGGGGATCTGGTCGACTCAGATTGTCATTTATGACAATCTGGGGAGGTGGGGGAGAGATTGTCATGGCATGACAATGTGGCCTTCTCCCACATTGTAGCGCGTGACAATCTTGGGCTTTCTCCCGGCAGATTGTCATGGCATGACAATTTGGGCATGCGCATGTAGCTGCCTTCAAATTGTCACGCTATGACAATCTGCGGGGGGGGGGGGGGGGGGGGGGGGGGGGGGGGGGGGGGGGGGGGGGGGGGGGGGGGGGGGGGGGGGGGGGGGGGGGGGGGGGGGGGGGGGGGGGGGGGGGGGGGGGGGGGGGGGGGGGGGGGGGGGGGGGGGGGGGGGGGGGGGGGGGGGGGGGGGGGGGGGGGGGGGGGGGGGGGGGGGGGGGGATGGGTGAGCAGGATTGTCATGGCATGACAATCTGGGCACGTGGTCGCCTTCAAATTGTCACGCTATGACAATCTGGAGGGGGGGGGGGGGGGGTGGGGAACAAATTGTCATGCCCTGACAATGTGGCCTTCTTCCAGATTGTTCTGGCGTGATGATCTTGGGCTTTCTCCCGCAGAATTGTCACGTCGTGACAATCTGGGGGAAAGGGAAAGAGGGGGGGGGGGGTGGGGTTGCGGGAAGATTGTGGCGTTGTGACAATCTGGATGGGGGTATGGGGTCAGATTGTTGCGTTGTGACAATTTAAATTGTCGCGCCGTGACAATCGTGGGTGCCTCGGCGCTTGCGTGCGTCACACTCTTCGTGTTGTTGGGGCGCTGAGATTGTCATGCCGTGACAATCTGGAGGCCCTTCGGCCCCTGGCTGCGTCTCACTCTTCGTGCGGTTCGGGCGTCTCATATTGTCATGCCCTATTTTTCTGCAGGGCCGTCGGCTGTTGCCTGCGTCACATTCTTCCTGCTGTCCGGCCGTCGTTCTGAGGATGTTTGCGTTTCCGCTTTGGCCTTCTTGGATTCGATGGCGATCGGCTTGTTGTTGGTGTTCCTTGCTAAGCGGAGGGCGGGGGAGGGGGGGGGGGGGAGGGCCGGCATTTTTTCTGCGAGGCGCCTAGCTTGGGTCGTTGATTCGTGTTTTCTTCTCAGACTGGCTTTTGTTAGCGGTACGTGGGGATGTGTTGTTGTGTATGCTGCTCTCATTTTTGTACTGGCATGCGGGGCTGGGTATGTCACAAGCGTGGGGCTTGACTGAGCTACGGCGTTAGCGACTCGCCTGGGCAAAAGGCTGCGGTAGGCTGCACACTTCGTCTGATTTGTTTTGCATGGTCCGTAAGTTGCGAGCTGAAGGATACGATGGAGGCCTTCGCGCCTTTTTTTTGTCATAGTTCGAGCATGTCTCCTCGGCTCCGTTGTGCTCAGGGCGTTCCGGTTGCACGTGCTCGGGCTGGCTCGGCTGTCTGCGGCGAGTGGTCCGTTCTCTCGCTGCATCGGCGACGAGCCGTGCTGTTTCGTCGTCCAGGATATCTACTTGTTGTATGCAGGGTTCGTGTCCGTTGTCGGGGTGCGTTCCGACGATGTACATCTCTGTCACGATCTGGCGGTAATGGTTTTGCAGAATCCATCTGTAGACGTTGAGCTGTAGGTGATAGTGGGAGAGGGTGCTGTCCGCCAAGTGGTCGAGAGGTGGCTTCATGAAGCGGCCGAAGTGCTCTACGCGGCTTGCTATTTTGCTGCTTCGTTTCCAGTCCACGAGCTCCAGGCTACCGTTCGCTCTCTGTAAGACACAATCGATGCTGCCGGCCACGTCGATGTCGTCGGCGTAGATCTTCCACTCTGTCCTGTAGATCGTGGCATGATGCAGTCTTTCGAGGAACTTGCATAGCAGGCTTATCTCTGGTGTCATGGCCGGAACAGTGCCTCCGTTCAGGAGGCACTCGAACTGGGCGTGCATCCATGTCCCTTCGTGCGACGCCTCGTCTCGGGCGGTCTCCCATTTTCTTTTCACGTCGCTGCTCGACATTGCGAGGCCTCGGAGCGTCGCTGCTTCCGTGGGGTTCGCTTGCTGCAGCGCCATGCGTAGATGCTGGTTCAGCTCTTCATCGTTGGCTTTCTTTTGTTGGAGCATGGCCAGGATGCGGGGGCCTGCGCGCAGCTGGTTGATCTTCTGTTCCATGTCCGGTGAGATGTCGGTTTTGAGATACCCGGCCCGCGGCCAGTGCCTTCCTTCTGACATGTTTTTCAGCGTCTGGTCCGGATCGAACTTGTCCGCATACTTGTGGATCATCTGCGTTACCGATATCATCACTCGTTTGTTTTGCCAGAAGTAGGTGTGCGTGGAGTTGTCGAAGCGTAGGTGTACGTCTCGTTCGTGGGGGTGGATGTGCTGTAGCCTGTCACTGACCAAGTTCTCTGGCAGGTTGGTGGGTAGGGGTCCATGTGGGCGCACTGGAAAGTTCGTCGGTGCTTGGGGGCTTCTGACCAAGTTGAGCGGCAGCAGGTAGTCCAGGCCTTCGGTAAAGAGGCTTACTTCGTGCTATTCGTCGTTTAGTTCTGCGAACGTCTCTTCTTTGTCTGCCTGCGATGAGTCGCCGCGCGGAACCACCGCAACACCTTCGTCCATGGCGTGGCGCGATGACTGCTATTTGCCGTGATCGTGGCTGAGCCGACAGAGCATGCTACTTTGGATGTGGTTGTTTCAGGGCTTGATTGCCGCGATACGTCGAAGGCTTCCTGTGGTGGTTGGTTTGTCTTTGTTTTTTTTTTGATCGGTGGCTGCTCTGGCGCTGTGAGCCTTGGGATTTTGGACATCGGGTTGCTGCGCGGAGACCATGCTGTCCTTCCTTGTTTTGCTTGTTGATGCGCGACGCCTTTTTTTTTACCGTCGCACTTTCTGTCTGTCGTGGTCTTACTGTTCGTCGCAGATGGAGGCTTCGTCGTCAAACTCTGTGGATGTGAGTGCCGGGTTTTTGCGCAGAGGAGCCGTTGTGTTCGTAGCTCAGCAGGACGGGGATGTAGCACGGGATGCTGTAGGTCGGGGCGTGTTGAGGCTGCGGGCCGCGTGGATGTGAGAAGCTTTCCGCGAGAACCTCCTGCGGCTGTGGTCGTTCCGCCTTTTCGTTGGGTCTTGGCTCTGGAGAGTGTATAGCAGGGCGCCATGTGTAGACGAGCTCGAACCACGTTCGGCATGGGAAACGGTGGTAGCGGCAGCGCTCCTTCAGGCTGTCCTGCCACCATGCGAGCTGTTCTTGTTCCAGCTCGCGGTACATGACTGCTCTGACGAATTGGCGTACTTCTTCCTGAAGAGTGTAGTCGCAACCAAGTTCCTGCGGCTCACATGTCGTGCGACTGTGGTTACTGTGCAGGGGCCTCTAGAGGCGGGGCCGTCGACATTGGGACGCTGAGGTTCCGACTCCATGTTGGCTCGACGTGGGTGTCCGGGCGGGGTTTCGGCGCTGTTCTCGACCTCGAGCCAGCTGACAGATGGCACTGCGGAGCTTGACAGACTGAAGCCACAGTCGGCAAGTAGGCTAAGGAAACAGAGAAGGCCCAGAACGAACAGAGTGATCCAATCGAAGCCTTGAGGCTGGCAAAGAGGATGGAAGGCAGACTGGCCGAAAAGAGGGCCTCAAGAAGGAGCTGGCAAGCTGGTCCACTCACCGGGCTGCTCCCCCGGGCTGCGTCTTGCTTTGGGTTTGAATTGAGCTGGGGGGGGGGGAAACAAGACGCGGCCCGGGGGAGTTTACCCGGTGAGATCTTCTGGTCGCCACCTCCTTCTGGTTCTGGCCGGTATGCAGGCCTTGGCCAGGCTTTCCGGTACTTCCCGTCTGGTAGTTTCGCCATTCTGCCTGGGCATGTTGCTCGGATGGCTGTCTTGCGTCCGCCGTCTCTGTGTCCTTACTTTAACGGCTGCACAGCTTCAGACTTTGCAGTCAGTTGGAGTCGGAGTCAGTCGATGTAGTGGGCTCCGCCGCCTTAGGGGCCTAAGACGTACCACTAGGCTACCGCGGCGGAGGCAGACGATGCACACCAAATCGCAGAAGCTCTAGGTGCGGGGTCAAAAGCAGATAAGACGCAGCCCGGGGGAGCGTGCCCGGTGAGTGCTTCTCCATGCCAGCTCCGGCTTCAGGTGCCAGTTTCTCTCCCCTTCTGTCTTGCCGACTCCGGTCAGGGGGCTGCACCCCAGCTTCCCCCCATCTATGTGGGGTGGGGTTTGAAGCTTCATGTTTAGCTGTACGCTTGTGAACGGGAACGGCTCCACAGCCTCAAAGTTTGCAGTCAGTCGGAGTCGAGCCAGTCGATGTAGTGGGCTCCGCCGCCTTAGGGGCCTAAGAAGTCCCACTACGCTACCGCGGCGGAGGCAGACGACGCGCATCACATATTAGCTAGTGCTTTGGCAAGGGGGGGGGGGGGGGATTTAGTCGCGCTTGTCCTTTTCGGAAAAGGACAATCAGCTTTAAATTCGAGATTTTCTATTTCTTGGCTCCGGAAATTTGGAAAATTGCCGGTGATTTTCAAGCGACGAATTCTGTTCATAAAATGTGGCTTTTAATAGAAGCCGGCTGCGAATCTCGAGGTGCCCCCCTTTCTTTTCGTGTGGCTGCTCTTAGCATTCAGGTTTTCTAGATCTAGTCGCGCTTGTCCTTTTCGGAAAAGGACAAGCAGCTCTAAATCCAGGATTTTGTGCATTTAGTCGCGCTTGTCCTTTTCGGAAAAGGACAAGCAGCTCTAAATCCAGGATTTTTTGCTTTAGTCGCGCTTGTCCTTTTCGGGAAAGGACAAGCAGCTCTAAATCCAGGATTTTGTACATTCAGTCGCGCTTGTCCTTTTCGGGAAAGGACAAGCAGCTCTAAAACCAGGATTTTGTAGATTTAGTCGCGCTTGTCCTTTTCGGAAAAGGACAAGCAGCTCTAAATCCAGGATTTTGTGCATTTAGTCGTGCTGTCCTTTTCGGAAAAGTACAAGCAGCTCTTAATCCAAGTTTTTTTGTGCATTTAGTGGCGCTTGTCCTTTTCGGAAAAGGACAAGCAGCTCTAAATTCGAGATTTTCTACATTCTTGCCTCTGGAAATTTGGAAAATTGCTGGTGATTTTCAAGTGATAAATTCTGTTCATAAAATGTGTCTTTTAATGAAAGCCGGCTGCGAATCTCGAGGTCCCCCCCTTTCTTTTCGTGTGGCTGCTCTCAGCCTTCCGGTTTTATACATTTAGTCGCGCTTGTCCTTTTCGGAAAAGGACAAGCAGCTCTAAATCCAGGATTTTGTAGATTTAGTCGCGCTTGTCCTTTTCGGAAAAGGACAAGCAGCTCTTAATCCAGGATTTTGCTGATTTAATCGCGCTTGTCCTTTTCGGAAAAGGACAAGCAGCTCTAAATCCAGGATTTTGTGCATTTAGTCGTGCTTGTTCTTTTCGGAAAAGGACAAGGAGCTCTTAATCCAAGTTTTTTGTGCATTTAGTCGCGCTTGTCCTTTTCGGAAAAGGACAAGCAGCTCTAAATTCGAGATTTTCTACATTCTTGCCTCCGGAAATTCGGAAAATTGCTGGTGATTTTCAAGTGATAAATTCTGTTCATAAAATGTGCCTTTTAATGAAAGCCGGCTGCGAATCTCGAGGTCCCCCCCTTTCTTTTCGTGTGGCTGCTCTTAGCCTTCCGGTTTTCTACATTTAGTCGCGCTTGTCTTTTTCGGAAAAGGACAAGCAGCTCTAAATCCAGGATTTTGTAGATTTAGTCGCGCTTGTCCTTTTCGGAAAAGGACAAGCAGCTCTTAATCCGGGATTTTGCTGATTTAGTCGCGCTTGTCCTTTCGGAAAAGGACAAGCAGCTCTAAATCCAGGATTTTGTGCATTTAGTCGTGCTTGTCCTTTTCGGAAAAGGACAAGAAGCTCTTAATCCAAGTTTTCTGTGCATTTAGTCGCGCTTGTCCTTTTCGGAAAAGGACAAGCAGCTCTAAAGGAGCAAAATGACAGGGGTGGGATTCGAACCCGCGCACGTACACACAATGCGTTTTTCTGTAAATGGGTCGTTAGACTTTCAGCCTTAGCATAGTGTCGACTGTACTTGCACAGGACCGCTAACTCGACAGTCAAACTTGACGTCGAAGCGTGACTCTGCGGCGAATGCACTGCGCAGACGCCAGAACAATTTGGAGCAGGCCAGGCAGCACCGCGAGAGCTGCAACTACAAGCTGGCCGATGCCCAAAGACGGAAAACCGGCGCCGAAGCGCCTATCAAGGAGGCCGAGAGAAGCGCGGAAACCTCGGCGGGACATCGTGAACAAGCTCTTCGAACATGTTTGCTTGAGGGTCTTTCAGGGAGTTCAGGGAATAAGCCCCTAAGCCCATAACCCCGTCCAATTTTCAATTTTTACTAAAACTATTCACT